CCAATCACATTTTACAGTCTGATTTAAAGAAACAGGTACAGCATTGTTACATGATTTATATATATTGCCAACCCAACCGTTAGAATTATATTCCTAAGAAGACCCGTTCACTCAAACCGGTAGCAGAAATCACGGATAGCTCCACCCACCTGCCCTGACTCTACGGCATCCCATTTAGGCCTTTTTTTTAGGCAAAGCACATGCGTGGGAGGCTGAGTGCTCACGCCCGTGCTCACATTTCCAAACCAGTAGGGAAGGTAAGTGAATGCCACCCCTGGTCATACGTCACATTTTTCAGTAGTATTGTAAGTTTGAACGGTCACGAAACAAACTGTTGTTAAGTCGAGGTATTTTGTTACAGGTAGTCCTCACTTAAAAACCATTCAACCTTGCCTGCCTGTTCAAAGTTACAACCGCACTGGGCTTGTGACTCTGTAACTTCTTCAGAGGAACGTAAAATGAATCCTAAAAAAAAAGCATCCATCCCTCATTGCTATTCCTTACTCTTTTCTTGCTGTTTAGGCAACGTTATGCTCGCGGCAAAGGTGTATGCAGGCTATCGTGGACCAATTAGCATCTGACAGTGAGGAATTGCACCAGGTATGTTGGGCCACACTGGATGGTCACTGAATCTGCACCCTACCCGCCCTTCTCCAGCAGGTCCAGGGCCGAGATGTCTCCTTCTCTGAGCACCTAAAGAAGGCACCTCAAAGCTGCTTTGACATTGACCTCAGATTCTCTATCTGGCCCATTAGGGAAAATAGCTGCTGAAGGTAGCTTTCATTCTGAAACGCTCCTTGCCCAGAAAAATGTTAAATGTTATTTATTAGATTGAAAGCTCACCTTTTATTTAGGAGCCCAAGGCAGTGCTAACTCCTCCCTCTTCACCGTTGGAAGAAATGTCCATCTGGGTTCAGTTCCAAGTGGGGAAAAAGACACCGGATTCATGGAAGTTGCTTGGAAAGATGGGGGGGGGGGGGTTGTTGTTTTTAGATCCATCTTATCTTACAACCGTCCTACTTCTTCTTCCCTCCCTCCCTCTTTCCTTCCCTCGTTTCTTCTCTCCTACTCTCCCTCCTTCCCTCCTTCCTTCCCTCCCTCCTTCCCCCTTCCCTCCTTCTCTCCTTCCTTCCTTCCCTCCTTCCTTCCTTCCCTCCTTTCTTCTCTCCTTCTCTCCTTCCTTCCCTCCTTCCTTCCCTCCCTCCTTCCCCCTTCCCTCCTTCTCTCCTTCCTTCCTTCCCTCCTTCCTTCCTTCCCTCCTTTCTTCTCTCCTTCTCTCC